TATTTGCGATTTGCAAAAATAAATCGTATTTTTCTCTGTTTCCCAGTATATGACGTTATATTATAATAAAGAACACAACATGAAAGGACTAGAATATTAGAAAATATCATTGCATGTACAGAGACTATGTTTTTACCTCTATTTAACTTATATACTTAGGTATTACAAATTCACCAATCCTTCAAATTTCATATCAAAGTGAAGGGGCCCTCAGGAGATCACCACTTCGTGTCAGTAAGAATTGGTGTCACCAACAGAACACCAAAGCCAAAACAATGTAGACCACAGATAAGCAGACGTCTATATGATAATGCTTATAATAATAATTAAATTTAAAAGAAAATTGCCAAGGAGTACTGTCAGCATGAAGATTTTCTGTCAAATTTCCATGCGAGTTAAATGGACCCAAACTCTCGTACCATAAGTATTTGAAGCAACACCGCTTTAGAACACAAGGTTTTAGATGTTTTGTCACCCAGATGAGTTCTGCTCCGTTGTCGGGCAGTTGGCATCAGCTTTTATATCCGGCAGAACCACTCACAAAACTACGATATTATGAAGTACTAAACTGATTTACGCTCACCAACAAACGGAAGCCTTCACCTCAGAAATTACCGTACTACAGTCACTGCATGAGATGAAACAAGAAAATGATATCACAGTTATAAGTACACAGAATTTAATGCGTAACGTTGTTTAACTAATGATCTGTCTCAGGGGTGCAATCCTTAAATGTGTTCGGGCGGTCTGACACAATTTCTTGTTGAAAGAAATTATCATTGAACCGTTAACACTATTACCTAATAGTGGTTTTTACGCTTTTAGATACAGAATTTAAAGTGAACAGCTCACAAAATGCACTTTCGTATTTAAAAACTCTGATATCTCAGAGAGATCAGAAATTAAATAATCTATAGGCCCAAGTTTTCTGTAACACAATTCCTTTAATTTTCCAGAGAAACGTGCGATGTAGGCCTTCTTATATTTTAAGGAGAAAGGAGGTGGCTCACACTGCCTTAGGATAAGTTACTGTCTTTAAAATAAGGGCCAACGAGATGCCTAGACACTCTGAAAAGACGCGAGGTGTTGCCCTAGACCGCCGTGGATTGACAATGGTTCTATTTCCAAGAAATTTGTCCTGTAAATGATGGGTTAGCTGAAACACTAAAACAAGTGTACATTTCTCTTTCAATGCGACTAGTGAATACATGGCACGAAAAATATAAACACTTCTGGATAAGTTTTTATCAGTTTTTGACATATTAATCATTTCAGATTTCTTTAGCTTGATTTTGACAATGTGAAGGAGCAAATGGTAAACAAACAAGTAGCTGATATGCGAAATATTTCGCCACCTACTCCAAGTCTCTTGGCAAGTGAACATAATTACAAACACTCTTACAACGAAAATCACAAATATCCTTTAAGAGCTTCAACTTGTCCTATCCCCTTTGACTCAATCCCTTCGTATGACCACTACATTACAGTTAATATCAAAACAAACATGGCGGATACAATGTAATGGTAGATGCACGCGTTCTTATTACGTCCTTGCCCAGACTTGGATTTGAGATCAGGAGTCACTGACGTTTCGTGATCCCGGTGCACATTCTCCGGACAGGGCAGATCTTGCATTGGGATATCGAACAGATGTTTAACGCTGTTGGATTCAGTAGTCACAAAGTTAGGTTGCACGGGGCGTCCATAACTGTCATAACCCTGTTCGATGAACACATCATCGTCGTCAACTATGCGAAGTGGCTTCATGGTGCTGCCAAGGAGAGAGTCGGTGATGTCTTGGGTAAGTCTCCTGATATCAGATTGCAGATTTTTCTTGGGATCATCCGGCAGTTTTCCTTCGATATCTTCCAGTAGTTTTTCCTCGATGTCATCAAGTAGTTTCTTCTTGGCATCGACCTGCGGTTTGCACGTCAATTCGTCCAAGCTGTTTCGGATCTGGTCACTAGCTGTCTCGTTCCGCAGTGGGTATACCCACGACAGCTGACAGTTGCACACGAGGTTGTTACCTGTCGAAATAAACAATCGAGAATCAAAAATGTAGTCAAAATGGAGAGTTAGTCTGAACTCCATAACAATACTAATTCAGTTGAAGCTGTTTAGCGGGAGAGACAAACAATGTTGGGCAATGTAAGATTTGAGGTTCTCACAGCGGTGATTATGAAGATTTCTGTCTTCTGGGTTGTTGCGCTGTGTAGTCTGGTCGATGTTTACCAACGTTTCAGAGGTCATACTGCCTCCGTCATCAGGGCGATGAGTATGAA